TTCCAAAATCATGTCAAGAATTAGGTTTGAAGCATTGAACACTAATGATCAAAGACTAGGTGAATTGTGGGATGACATCAAAGATACCATCCATGAAGAGAGCAAAAGGTGGTTAAAAAGACAGAGGAAGAAGAAAAAACTAGAGTGGTTATCAGAAGAGAATCTGAAAATGACACTAGAATGTTGAGAAACCAAAACAGAGGAAAGAGTTGCTGACAACACTATCAACAGAGTGCCAAACCATAGTTAAAATGGTGTGACAGACCAGAGATAGTTTTGCATCCTTGCATACCATGTAGTCTAGGTGGGTGTTGTGCCCACCACGTGTATTGAGAGCTCCAAGATGACACTGGGGCATAATCTACTCATTATCATGTAGAACACTGCTAGGAAGTTCTCAGAGATTAGTGAGTGTAGATGAGGACTAATACACAAGAGTTTTCATTTGCCAGCACTCCTGGGAGGATGAATCACTGAGCTCAGTGTTGCTCGGCCCACAGGAATAGGTTGCCGAGCTCAGTAGCCGCAAACATTGAGAAGGACTCAGTCTAGCACCCCTGCAATAACCCATCACTGAGTTCAGGGCAAGCCCAAGCTGGATTCAGAATGGTCTTGACTTGTCCTCAGGCTGAAAGATGCCTTTGATGATCCTTAGGGTTAATAGTGAGAGAGGTCCTTTTTTTTCCTACTCCCCATGAACTTGCTGTGTCCCCTCAGGAAGCCTTCAGAGATTCATTGAAGACTCCTTTGGGCCCCTCAGCCACATTTCCCAGTTTCTTTTCTTCCTTCAGGATTTGAATATATTATTTTTCACTTTCCTTTTACTCTCTGGATTCCAGTAATTTTCATCAGTATATTTCACAATTTGGTCTGGGATGTTTCCATTTTCCCCTTTGGTCATCTTCATCAAGATATTGGGCAGACAGAGTCACCTGAATGTCATTTTTGTGTGAATCCTCCAAGATTATAATCTTTATACAGAGTGGGACTACGCTACTTGGGACTCCTTTTAATTTATAGCGGTCTGCTTTAAAAAAATCTTTATGTATACTGGGATCATGGATGTTTTCTTTCTATATGGTTTTCTAGAACTATTGCTGTTTCCTTTCTCAGATCTGTAATCTCCCTGCAGTTGACTTTGATGTATAGTGTGAAGTAAGGTTTTAACATTCTAGATTTATTTCCCTTAATGTTGATAATTAGTTGGCTCTAGTTATTGCAAAGGTTATATTCCCTCTCACTATTCTGCAGTGGTACATAGGTAAAAAATACCAAGTGTTTCTCTGCTGTAGATTGTTGGTTCTGTTTCCTCATCCATTCTCTAGCACCATATCACTTGAATTTTAGTAGCTTTATAATAGCAGCTTTATACTTATCTGAAACTACAAACCTTCCAGTTTTATTCTTCCACGTTATCTTGGATATTACCATTTCATCTTTCTGAAAACCTGTATTTTGCTTGATGTCATATAGTTGGTTTCAGTTCCTTTTGACTGCTAGTGTGTCAAAGTCCAACTGTTGTTTAAGTCTTTCTGATATTTGATATTTTAGAAGTGGATTTCTAAGACTATTTTTTAAGTACTTCTTGGTGGACACACACTTCTGCCATTTTCATTAGCAGCCACGTGCATTATCTCTGCACTACCCAGAAACTTTGTCTTTCCCTTTCTCTCCCATAGAAACATACTCTGTCCACCTTCTTCTCTTTTCTACTCTCTCCTTTTGTTTTGTTCCCTTTCTCTCCCCCCTCTTTTTTCCTTTCCCTCTTTCTTCCTCTCCCTTTATCTCTCAAGAATATTCCTTCTGGAATACTGATTGAGGTTACATTGAATGTGTAGATGAAAGTAGAAAGAATGGACATTTTAAAATACTAAGGTTCCAGCTTATAAGAATGAACGTGGGAGGCCGAGCGGCCACGGGCGGGCGGGCAGCACAGCGCAGAGAGGGCCCCGTGGGCCCATGAGGAGGCCCGGGGACCATGGGCTCCAGGATCAAACAAAATCCAGAGACCACATTTGAAGTGTATGTTGAAGTGGCCTGTCCTGGGACAGGTGGCATTCTCTCAGATCCTGAGGTGCAGAGGCAATTCCCAGAGGACTACAGTGACCAGGAAGTTCTACAGACTTTGACCAAGTTTTGTTTCCCCTTCTATGTGGACAGCCTTGCAGTTAGCCAAGTTGGCCAGAACTTCACGTTTGTGCTCACTGACATTGACAGCAAACAGAGATTTGGATTCTGCCACTTATCTTCAGGAGCAAAGAGCTGTTTCTGTATCTTAAGCTATCTCCCCTGGTTCGAAGTATTTTATAAATTGCTGAACATCTTGGCAGATTACACGACAAAAAGACAGGAGAGTCAGAGGAATGAACTTCTTGAAACTCTGCACAAACTTCCTATCCCTGACCTTGGAATGTCTGTTCATCTCAGTGTGCATTCTTATTTTACTGTGCCTGACACCAGAGAACTTCCCAGCATACCTGAGAACAGAAATCTGACAGAATATTTTGTGGCTGTGGATGTTAACAACATGTTGCACCTGTACGCCAGCATGCTCTACGAACGCCGGATTCTCATCATTTGCAGCAAACTCAGCACCCTGACAGCCTGCATCCACGGGTCCGCCGCCATGCTCTACCCCATGTACTGGCAGCACGTGTACATTCCCGTCCTGCCGCCACAGCTACTGGACTACTGCTGTGCTCCCATGCCCTACCTCATAGGAATCCATTTAAGTTTAATGGAGATCCTCCACCTTTGCAAGCATGAAATCCCTCTCTAAGGAATAGCCTCTTCTAGCAACATACCCAAAGTATATGATAAGAAGCTTTGTCATCCATGCCTCCAAGAACAGTCTGGCTTCACTTTCTCTAAGACATATATGTTTGTCTATTTACATACAGTTCAGAAGATATTCAGGATTCTTCTCCAGCACCACAGCTTAACTATGTTAATTCTTCTTCTTAAATCTTTATTCACTGTCCAGATTTCAGATGTATAGCAAGTGATTGAAAAGATCATGGCCTGAATTAGGTGCACCTTACTTTTCAAACTATCATTACTCTTCAGTAATTTGGAGAGGTCCTAGACAGCAGACTTGCCCAGTGCAGTATGTCTACTGATCTCCTGACTTCTGTTACCAAGGGTGTTGATTGTGGATCCAAGTAAAATTAAATCCTTGACAACATCAATCTTTTTTCCACCTATCATGATGTTGCTTATTGATCCAGTAGTGAAGATTTTTGTCTTCTTGATGTTGAGATTCAATCTTTATTGAAGGCTATATAGTCTTTATCTTCTGCAGCAAACATTTCAAGTCCTCCTCACTCTCAGCAAGCAAGGTGCATTATTTGCATAATACATGTTATTGATGGGTTTTCCTCCAATCCTGATCCCACATTCTTCTTCATAGAATCTAGCTTCTTGAATTATTTGCTCAGCATACAGATTAAATAGATATGGAGAAAGGATACAAACTGACACACAACTTTTCTGATTTTAAACTATGCAGTGTTTCCTCACTCTGTTTGGACACCAGCCTCTTGTTCTAGGTATAGGGTTTTTTGTAAGCACAAGTAAATGTTCTGAAATGCCCATTCTTCTCTATGTCAGCCATCGTTTGTTATGATCCACACAGTCAAAATGCCTTTGCCTAGTGAATAAAACACAAATTTACATTCAAAAAAAAAAGAATGAACGTGGTATATCTTCATTAAGTATTTTAAAACTTTTTCTAAAGTTTTTGTTTAGAAATCTTACACACATTTTGTTAGATTTGGTTGTGAAAATATGTATCTGTATATGTATATAATAATACTTCAGATTTATCTATTAATATTTTATTTTATAAATTTTTCTTGTTCACTTATAGAAAGAAGTTAATTTTTACATTATTACATATATTGATTCTAAAATAAATTCTCTTGTCTTTCTTATAATGAATCCAGAATATTTTACATGTTTTTGGGGTAGTAAGTGTTGTATTAGGTTGTTACGGATTGAATTGGGTCTTGCAAAATTATGTGTTTGTTAACTTGGCTACGCATTAATTCTCAGTGCTTTGGCAATTATTTAATTATCTAATTTGGCTTTAACAAATTTATTTTCTCCCCATTTTGGAGGTTAGAAGTGTGAATTGAGGGTGTCGATCCTGCTAGCTCTGGAAAAGACAGCTTTGTCTCTTCTGAGCTTCTGCTTCTAGTGAGCATGTGACTGGGTGCCTCTTCTCTTCCAGCTCTTTTGGTTCACTCGGTCACTCCTTCCCTCCCATTCAGTTGGTTCCAAATAATAGTAATGCTCCATTGGGTTTCTCAGGCTTTAAATCTTAATGGAAAGTGACTGCCCATCTTTTTCCCTTAGAACTGCTGGTGATTAAAAAACTCCTTTCTGTACTTGATGCTATTCTTGTGTGCTGCCAAGTTGGAACTGACCCATAGCTGACCCTCCAGCAGGGTTTTAGAGGCAGTAAATTCTATGGGAAGACCCTTAACCAGGTGGATTGACTGCTGCAGTGGGCTCTAGTGTGTCAGGAAATGTGAGACTGACACAGGATAGGACATGGTTCATATCTGTTCATACGATGGCTGTGTGTTATACTTGACAGTACCTAACAACACCAACAAATTCCATAGGAGGAGGGAGTTTGCACATCCTTGTCAGCAGCTAGTGGATTTGAATCATGTGCCTTTGTGCTTCTTAGCACTGGGCCACCAGAACTCCCTAGTTAGATTCAATCTCTTGTATTTTGGGAGATTGACTCCAAATACACTTTATACCAATTCTTCCTCATTAACTTAACAAAGACAGCCCATTCACAATTAAGGTTATAACCATGGGGACAGAAGGTAGAATTTACAACACAAAGTTTTAGGGAGGCAAATTTCAGTGTCTAAAAAAAGGAAAACTTTCAAATGTTAATCACCATTGATCATTACTGTAATTACATATTTAATGACTAAGCATATATATTGACCCTATTTTATTTTGTTGTTCTTTGAATACAGCAGCTCCAGGTGGTTCCATTGTTCGGAGACATGCAAATAGAACTGGCAAGATACATAAAGACCAGTGCCCACTATGAGGAAAATAAATCTCGGTAGGAAAGAAAGCTTTTTTAAAAATTGAATTCATTTTTTATTTTAAATTGGTTTGAATACAAAATTAATTTAAATTGTGTTTCACACATTCTTTTATTTGCATTTTATTTCATAAGATCATTCTCAAACATTGTATTTTATAATACCAATCACTGTTGATCCATGCCCACTATCACTTATCTTTTCAGGCTTCCGGTAGATCTTTCCTAATTCCTTCACCCACTTCACTCCATCTGGCAAACTCTGTAACCAGTCATTTCCCCTCCTCTCCATCCTCAAATTTCCTGCCTCCTCCCCATCCCTCTTTGGACTTTCATGTACATTTTACTAGTTGTTGTGTACCATCAGTGCACTCGCAACTCATAGTGACTGTATGTATAACAACTCTGAACCCTGCTCTATCTTGAGCCAACTGTCTCTAATGCATCTACTCCATTACCCCAGTCACTGAGTCAGTCTATCTCATCTAAGGTCTTCCTCTCTTGTGCTGTCCCTCTACCTTTCCAAGCATAATGTCCCTCTCTAAAGACTGGTATGTCCTTACAACATGTAAAGTATGTCAGACAGAGCTTCAGAATCTTTGCCTCCATGGAACAGCCTGATTTCACCCTCTCCAGCAGTTCTTCTAGCAGTCCATGATATATTCAGTACTCCAACACCACAGCTCAAAGACATCAATTTTCCTTCTATTATCCCTAGTCACTGTCCATCTTTCTGATGTATTGCAAATAATTGCAAAGGCCATAGCCTGGATCAGGTGTACCTTTGTCTCCTGGCTGACATTGTTACTCTTTAGTAATTCCTGATGGCAGACTTCTCCAGTGCAATTTGTCTTTTGATTTCCTGGCTGCTAGTTCAAGCTGAAGTTGAGGAAAATGAAATCAAGTCCACGGGAACCAAGATTTGACCTTAAGTCTGTCCCACTCGAATTTCAAAACCATCTCAGGAACAGGTTTGAGGCCTTGAGCACCAATGAGCATAGACCAAATAGGATATCAAGAAAATCTTCCATGAAGAACGGAAAAGATCATTACAAAGTCTGAAGAAGAAGAAAAGACCAAGATGGATGTCAGATGAGACTCTGAGTGTTGCATTAGAGCACCGAGAAGCCAAGCTAAAGGAAGAAATCAAAGAGCTGAACAGAAAATTTCAAAAGGCAGCTCTAGACGAGAAAGCAAGATACTATAATGAAATGTGCAGAGAGCTAGAGTCAGAATAATCAAAAGGGCCGGACTCGCTCAGCATTTCTTAAGTTGAAGGAGTTGAAAAACAAATTCAAGCCATGGGTGGCAGTACTTAAAGATTGTTTGGGTAAAATGTTGAATGATCCAGGAAGTATCAAAAGAAGATGGAAGGAGTACACAGAGTCACTGTATCAGAAGGAATTGACTGACACAGGAATTTCATGAAATAACATGAGCAAGAGCCTATGGTGATGAAGGAGGAAGTTCAAGTTGCCATGAAGGAATTGGCAAAAAACAAGGCTCCAGGAGTTGACAGCAAACCAATTGATTTGTTTCAACAAACAGACGCTGCCCTGGATGTGCTCACTAAGTTGTGCCAGGGAATCTGGAGGACAGCCAGCTGGCCAACTGACTGGAAGAGATCGATATTTGTTCCCATTTCAAAGAAAGGTGATCCAACAGAGTGTGGAAATTATCAAACAATATCATTGATATCACATGCAAGCAAGATTCTGCTGAAAATT